TGTCATCCCGGCCTGTTGGCTCTCTCTGACCTAAGCCGCTTGTCGGGTTTTTCGGTTTGGGCGGTGTAATGGTTGGGCAAAGTTGTAACCGACTTTCAGCAAAAACATTGTCAGCCGCGCTCTTGGAGGGTGCATGATTCTTAAAGGGAATTGTTTTACAAAACTGTTTGCAAATCAAGCCTGCAAAAACTATAAATAGCAAGGCAGCGGAAATCACAAGTGTTCATGTTCACCAGGTTATAGTTTATTATTAACGTAAGCTGCTTCCTACCCTGTGAAAGTACACCTGGAGGAACTGCAGATCGCTTCAGGAGGCTGCTCTCCTGCAGCCGTTGCTTTTGACAGGTAGAAAAGTCATGGAAAGGGAAAGAAGCTTCAAAAACCACTTTGACCTTGAACAAATAGGTTATTGTACAGTCATTTGTTCCTAAATCTTAATTTCCTTTTACATCCCGCCATGCCTTTGCAGTTACTTACTCTTTCTGGAATATTCTTTTTCATCAATAAATGTAGTACTAAAATTCTGATCAGTATGAACGCAGTGGGGGTTTTTTTTAAAGTCCTTTATAAGAGGAGTTTAAAATACTCTGTTCCTCCTACAGAATAGTTACCAAAAGAACAACAGAAAAAAGTGTGGGAAAGTCTTTGGGTGATACAACTCCTTCTGAACTTAAGCAGTAAAAATATACTTTTTAGAAAGTGCTGTGATTTTAGTAAACGTTGTCGTCATATCTCTGGAAATATTAAAGGTGGTGATAACACTCTACAATTTAGTATAACTGGATACCAAGTTCATAAGAATACCGAGACCAGGGAGCCTTGAAATGAGCTGTCAGATGGTTTAACATACTCTGAAGTAAGCGTTTAAACATACTTAATTTGTCTTGTGTTTATGCCAAGAGCTAAACTTGTCCCGTGGGTATGACAGTGTTGATTGTGGCCGTGTGTTTCAGATAGCAGTTATCTGGGATTTGATGTTACCTGAAAATATAGTGCTTTGAGTCAGTTTTTGAGACACTTTGCGATTTCCTACCGGGTATGCAGTCCTGCTGAGCTTTCACTGCACAGAGTGGGTGCATTGTTGGAACCTTTGCAGATTTGCAGGCCAGTGAAACAGTAGACGCTGAGAACCTCTAATTGCGACGCTCTCTCGTGTTGTTAAAGGTGTGAGAGTCCTCGTAGATGCCAGAGAGAAACTCCATATCCCTTGGGGAGATCCTGCGAACCAGAGTAACGGCGATACGATGATGGCTTTTGACACTCGCTCGGTCGCGGTGGTGCAAGGCATGGTGGAGACGGCGGTTTTTCTGCAGTACCTGCCAGCCATCAGAGCTCTCTGGGCGGACAGCGGCATCCAGCACGCGTACGACAGGCGCAGAGAGTTCCAGCTGGTAAGATCTGTGTTTCAGTGGTTTTAATTGAGGGCGGACGGTCGTATGATTCTTGTTCCTGCGTCGCTTGCCCCATGAAACGCCGATCGAGCGGGTCTCCTTCTGGATCTTGAGCATTTTTTAATGGTAGACTGTTACGCTGTGCTATTGCAAACAGATGCGTTCAGCTCCTTCCTCCCACCTGTTTTTGGAAACAAGAGTAACAAAGAGCTTATGACATAATTGTCCTCATTTCATATGTGAGAAAGCTGAGGTATAGAGGGCTTTTATGTTTTGTAACAAAGCTAGTACCTGTGTAGTGTTTTTACCATACGATTATTTCCACCCCTTGTTAAGTATTGCATTAACGTTTAAAAAACAACCAAAAAAGAATTTGCAGTAAAGGACGACTCAATAGTAATGTGATTTTTTTCAAGGAAAGATATGCATGGGTTAATGAGAAGAATTTAAAAACCACTCCCTTCTCTATTCCAATTTGAGCAATCTAGCAAACATTCCCTGTGTATACTTCCTGTTTAATTTGAATGTCTGTGTTAATACTCATGTAATGAGATTTTTGTTATATTGAAGTTCTCAGCTGAAGATGGAGTATACAATTCAGTAGTGGGGTTGGAAAGGAAAAAGAAACATCTTAATTCTTGAGCTGGAACTTTTAACTGTCTGTGACAGCTGAAATTCCTTCACTCCGTTTCCCTGCAAATGTTGCAGAAGGAAATGAATTTAAGTTAAATTTGCTGTTTGTTGGTTCATAGACCAGTGGTGTAGGGGTTTTGTGGGGGTGGGGGTTGAGAACCTTAAAATAGATTAAATCTGTTCTCGTAGGTCTCTTAAACCTAAGTGGCTTTGTGTTTTTATGTCTTAAAAATAACCTTTGTGTTAGTGTGAGTCTGAACAATAGCTGATGATGTCTCCCGTTGAGCTATTATGAAGGGTTGTGTAATCGTACTCTGACTTAAATAGGTTGTGTAAATACTCTATAAATATGTATTGCCCTGCTCATGGCATGTCTCGTAGAGGTTGCAGGATGGGCAGGTGCTCGAGCAGCCTCTCGCCTGCCCAGCCTGGTTCTGAGCTGTGTAAGGTTCTGACAAGACCCGTTGCTCCCTGCATTTTGCCTTCGGAGGGATCCTAAACGGGTCATTGCTCTGCTGTGGCCAAGATCGTCTTCTGGCGCAGCTGTGACTCTGCTGGATTGATCTGTTTGCAGCTCTGTTAAATCAAATTGTTTTGCCTTTGATTGGGCGTGTTTAGTGACTGCAGGCTAAGCAGCGAAGGAAAAGGGAGCTGTTACTGTTCTGTCATCTTGAGTCTCTGAGAAGTAGGTTCTTTCCATAACTGAAGCATGTGCAGAGTTTCACTTTGAGTAGGATTTGAAGAATGTGTTCTTCAGAATCCAACAGTAAAAAAGACTATTGCTTTCTTTTGGAAATCCCTAAATCTGTATAATGTCTGCAAAAAAATAGATGGGTTATGTCGTGTCTTAGGCAGAATTCAAGAATATTTTTTTAAGTGCTCTTAAGAGTGGAGTACTGTCCTGATACTGTTTTTTTTTTGAAAGTAACTGCTTTATTTATACTTACATCGCTTTATTTCCTAAATCCTTTCAGTATCTCAGCCCAACATATTTATGCCAAGTTATAAACATTAAAAAAAAAGCTGAATGATGTCATTGTATTGAATGCAAGCGGTACGATCGGTGCTGGCCAAGCGTGAAGCCTCGGTTTTACACCAATAAGCTACCAGCTTAAGTTGTGACAGAGCTCCATGTGGGCGGCAGAACGGCGGAAAAAACTCCTGAAAGCGGCCCGTGGCTTTGCTGTACCTGCTGACGGGCTTTGTAGAAGAGTGTCTGGAGAGTTTAGATGGGTGTCGTAGTCTGGAAGGAAGACACAAATGGTGAAGGAAGGAGGGAGAGGCGCACCCGAGTCAGGAGACAGGGCAGGGGGAAGTTGGAAGAGACGCAGGCAGCTCGGCCGTGTCAAGTAAGGGTTCAAGACTGTCAATTGTTAGCGTTGTAGAAGGGGGAGTAAGAGAAAAAATACTGTTCTGCTTCCAGCTCAACTGCTTGTGGTGAAAAAATGTAATGAGAGGAGAGATACCTGCAGTCATTAGATCAGTAGCAGAGAGGGAAAAGTGGCAGGAAAAAAAGTGTCAAATGGTGGAACCGAGTGTGGTAGAAGAGAATTGCTTGGCTGTACATTACTCTTAACTTCTTTTCAGTGTTTGAGTTTTGGTTTTTTCACTGGACCGAGTTTGACACTGCACAGAAAAATATGGTTCCTATTAAAGAGCACAGGCAGGGATGTTGGGAAAGTGTTGTTGGGAATAGGGCACTTTGGGGCAAAAGTAGAAATGAGCAAATGAAGAACAGCGCAGTGATGCATGACAAGTGAAAAACGTCACAATTCATCTAGAAATTCTGGAGGAAAGGAAGCACGAGTGGGTAGTGCTAGAAGCCTTTTGTAGCTTGGGCAGATAGGGCATGCGGAGCAAGAGGGTGTAAGGTTAGCGTTTCTGCAAGGGTGTGCCTAGAACTTCAAGATACTCGTGCGTTTGTTGAGAGATCATCAAGCTGTTCTTGCTTTTTCTTGTTCTCCATCATCTTTCACTTAGAATGACAGAGGTGATGCTAGGAGCCTAAAGAAGCAACATAATCTTTTTATAGCAGTGTGAGAAGGGGAAAAAACCAGAACTTGGGTGTCTTTTAATGGAATTGGAAATCAGCATTTCCATGCTGAGTTCATTGGAGTGTCCTTCCTCATTTTGTTAACTTAAGTGGTCATGGGGATCGGCAATATGATTTATTTTCCTTGGTATAAAAATAGTGGCCTTCTGGCGGCTGACAGCAGCATTCATGAAAACTCGTTGGCTCACGCTCGTGTGGTGCGTTAGAACTGGAAGGAGCTAATTGCAGCTTACTGCAGTGTGTGCCACTTCAGAACTGCTCGGGTGGTTAATACTACAGTCCCTCAAATTTTGTTACAAACTGAAGTCATTCAAGCGATAGTTCCACTAACACGGTTAACGAAAGACTGTTTTGGCTCTGTCGCTTAGTTCCTGTACGGTACAGCTGAGGTTCTGGTCATCCTCGAGCTTCCACTCGTTCATCTGCCCGGCTGATTTCTCCTGCGGCCTCTCACCAGCTGGCTCACAGGGGTGAGTTACAGAGTCAGGCAGACCCAGCCTAATGCTTTCTGACATCTAATAAACACTCTGGATTTCCAGTAAAAAAAATCTCCTGAAATGATTTGGAGAAACATACCCATTAGCTTAAACCGACAGCGCACCGACCCATGTAACTGGCTGTTTCTTAGCATTCGTGGGTTTGCTCGTGAGCCGTTGGGTTAGGGGACTGGGAAGGTTGCTCTTCCCGCAGGGATTTACCGTGAGGCGCTGGCAGCTGAGAAGCGGCTGGTGCTGGTGCTGCCCGTTCAGTAACTCTGGGGACAGCACTTCTGAGCACAAGGACCGTTGCACGCCGCCTCTCACCTCAGTGCGTTTGCTGTGGATTTCTTGAATTTGCTGCGAGAGTCATTAGCGGAGAAGTGTTTCTAAGTAGTCTCCAAGCGTCTCCTAGTTCTCTGAGAATGGAGAAGTGGGATGAGAGCCGAGTTGCTCAGATGCATAATAAGTTTTGAACCTGTTAAAGGTTTGGTTTTGTTACAGATCACTTTTTGGGTGGGTTTGGAGGTTTGCTACTAGCGATTGTTGATTTGCAGATAGAGCACTTTTTGCCCTACTTGCAAATTACACCGAATCCTGTTCTGTGTTTGTTTCTTTCATGCCGCAAACCTGCAGTGCGCAGGGGCGGTGGTGACACTTTATTCTGTCCCTGTTTGCATAGAGCTGCAGACCCAGGCGATACAGTAGGGATGGTAGGATGTGCATTTACCTCGGGATCCTGTTTACTTCTGTGACATGTCTGCGAGCGCTAGATCAGATTATAGAAGACAGGAAAAGGCGTGTTCAGCTTGAAGTTCTACTGCTGGTTTTGCTGCAGCGTCTCTCTGGCATTTTTCTGTTGCAGGGTAGTAGTTTTGAGGAGTGTTGTTCAGTTTGGTGGAAGATTTTATATTTTATCTTCTAATTGGGCTTTTCTGGGTTCTGTCTCTGAATATTGGTGGGGCTGCTCTGCGCACAAGGACATTAAATTAGTTTTACTGCAAATAATCAGTCCTCAAATGGCTACAGCAAACTGCTAGCAAAATGTAGCACCCTTTCAGGTGCGTAGGCAACACGTCCTTGAAATGTGCTTGATTTTAGAGCAACAACCCTGCGGAGGTTGGATATGTTTGAAACCAGACTAGGTTGCTGGATGTCGAGGTCTCTCTCAAGCATGGATGCCTGTCTTACGAAACAGTTGTGAGCTCAGAACCTCACTGTCTCGCTGAAGTCACAAGCACAGAACCTGGAAAAAAAGATTATCTTATCTGTTATTCATTGAGGGTGTCTGCGCCATATTTATGACACCGAATTTCGGAAACCTTTCAGCAGCTGGTACCCTCTATAATGTGTTGATATTTCTGTAAACATGTGCATTAACTGTCTGGGCACTTAGTCATGTAATTCAGAGTTACTTTATTGAAGTACAATGTTGTAATTATACTGAATATTGCTGCTTTTTTTTAATGAGGAAAAAAAAAAAGCTGCTGCTTTGCATATAGTGTTGAAATATGAAAAATTCCCTAATCAATAGGTCTGCCCAACGTCACATCCCAGGATGGCACATGTACAGTGAGCCTGACTCCTTAAAGCCCTTGGAAAGGTCAGAGCTGCTTGCCAGCTTTTGGTCTATGTGGGAAAGATTTGTCAAAGATTGCTGGTATAACTGTGGACGGAAAAATCCTTCACAAGTTTATACTTAAAAACGAGTCATGAAATGAGTTCTTGAGGATTTGCTGGTTTTCCTGCCCCGGTGACAAGAAATGCTGGCTTGGAGTTTGTATTAGTAAGGCTCCATACAGGGATTAACACTAGAGTCAAACAATAAGGAGGCTTGA